CCCCCCCTTTCTGGCAATTCAACCTGGTGGCACGACAGTTCGGTGCAAAATTTGCATCGACTGGGCCCACGTTACCACGCCACTTTTTGCGGTGGTTGGGCCAAGGATACCCCATTCCTGGCAATTAGTCCTGACGGCACAACGGTTTGGTGCAAATTTTGCATTGGTTGAACGCACAGTACCACGTAATAGTTGCACTGGTTGGGCTGAGTGTACCCAGCTATACGAGCACTTGATGAGCCAAAGGTATTTGCTAATACTAGCATTTGAGGACCCAACGGTATCTCCAATAGTGGGGCTTTTCGACACAAGGGTACCCCCAATCGTTGTTCGTGAGGACCAAGGCTATGAGATTGATGATGCTAGGTAGTCCCCTGACCGTTACCTGCGTTCTCGAGTAACTGCGAACGGGGCGTTACCGTTCCCGGTGACTGGGAACTTTTTCGTTATCGCTACCGTTCCCAGAAACGGTGTGGGAACGGTAACTTCCCACCCCTAGTTACAGATCAGTTTCTATCAAAGAACTGGTTGAACAGATCAGTTCCTATCAAAGAACTGGTTGGACAGATCAGTTCCTTTCAAAGAACTGGTAGGCACAGATCAGTTCCTATCAAAGAACTGGCTAGACAGATCAGTTCCTATCAAAGAACTGGTAGGTACAGATCAGTTCCTATCAAAGAACTGGTTGAACAGATCAGTTCCTATCAAAGAACTGGTTGGACGGACCAGTTCCTATCAAAGAACTGGTAAGCACAGATCAGTTCTTTTAAAAGAACTGGTTGGACAGATCAGTTCCTATCAAAGAACTGTTTGAACAGTTCTCAAAAACGGAACTGATATGGAACTGTCCAGGGTCTACTGTTGATATTGATGTAAAGGTTGCCATTTAAATTTTTCCAGTATTTTCTTCTACAAGAAAATAGAAAACTATGAACAAGAGTTGAAATACTTAATTTAAAAATACGATGTGTAATTGTTTCATGGCGATTACTGATATTTTCTTCGTTTTTTATGCTAGATAAAAATTTGTCTCCAATGAATTAAGTCTCTTCTTCATTGAAATATATTGCACAGAAAAACAACAAATATAGTTATTTTTATAGAAAACAAACTACTTATTCTTTATTGCATTCATAGAAATAAATATCGATCACGATTTAACTTTAATCAAGACTGATATTAGCGATCATGCTGAATGTACAGAGTGGCGCAAAAGTCGCTTTACCAAAAAAAAATTCAATATCTCCATTAGAACTTCTATCAAACGAGCTGATTTTTTTATGAATGATAGAGGCGTGTTCAAAGTTTATATCCATAAAGAAATGCTTAGAGAGACCCTTTATTAAGTACTACTATTGACCTCAACAAAAAAATTGTACTTTTTCATCAATAGGAAAAAAACGAATATACAGAGTGGTGCAAAAGTCACTTTGCTGAACAAAAAATTGAATATATCCATTATGGCTCCAGCAAATGAGCTGATTTTTTTATTAATGATAGAGACATATCCAAGCTTTATATTCATGAAGACATGCCTAGAGAAACCCTTTGTTAAATATATTATTTTTTTTCCTATTGGTGAAAAAGTAAAATTTTTTTGTTGAGGTCAATAGTAGTACTTAATAAAGGATCTCTCTAAGCATTTCTTTATGGATATAAACTTTGAACACGCCTCTATCATTGATAAAAAAATCAGCTCGTTTGATAGAAGTTCTAATGGAGATATTGAATTTTTTTTTGGTAAAGCTACTTTTGCGCCACCCTCAAGTGTATAAACTTGGATCCACATCAATACTATATTACAATAGAAACGCAAGGCTTGTTCAATTATTTAACTTGGATTAAATAGATTTTGCGAGGAAATATCACTAGATCTGCTTTTTATTTAGACTTGCTCTCTTTGTTTAAAAAAAAACCTGTTTTTCGAAAAAGAGAAAAAGGAAAACATCTATTTATTTATAAAAGAATCATTTACAGAAATGGACGATAATTGTACACTAGTGAAGAAAGTCGAATTAAAATGAAAGATAGGAGAAATGTTTTTCCTTTCAAAAATTTGTTACATCAACATGCTCGACGTGGCAAACAACAAAAAAATGGACAACTTTGTGCACAGGATTACCTTTTTTTTTCTATGTTTGTATGAAGAATAAATTTTATGTGAAGAGAATAGAGAGAAAAATTGCTTTATTATTTTTTTCACTTCAATCGTGTAAGATATCACAACGAGATTTCTTATCGTACACATTATAACTCGTCGTTTATGAGACATGTTCTTCTAAAGAGAAACATTCACGAACATGTTCTCAGAATGTAAATTTTTTAGAATACAGTGAGTGCAATACAACAGATTGTTTTGTGAAATGTTTAAAAGAATTTAGACAAAAAGTCAAAACTAATTTGTTTTTTGAGTAGTCAATATTGGTAATCTAGACATTAATAATAATAATAAAAACTTTGAAAAAAAAAGGGAGTGATCTTAAAGTATCTTAAAAATAGAATCTCTGAAATGTGTAGAATTTTCATGAAAAAGCTAGGTTTTTAGTATTTTTGTAACACAAACTTTAGATGAAAGTACAAATTTCAAAAACAAACATCATAAATCACATTCGATGAGTTATTTGAGTGTAGTCCAAAATTATTTTTTTTGGCTATGATGCAGTTTATGGCTCGAAACAACCAACATTGGGCGGCGAGGATGGAGGAAGAGTCGTCCTGTTTTTTTTTTCTTTTTACAAAGGAAAAATATTTGTCTTACAACAGAACGCAAAAAAACACATTTTGCTTGTACTAGGAAGAAACGAAAATTTTCCAAGGTAGGTAAGTGTTACAGCCCGACACATTCCACTCGAGCTACCGCTGTTTTGATGAATTTTTCTGCCTAAAATTTGAAACTCTCTAATTATGTTAGTCATTGAGTCAGATTGATCACAAAAGGGTGTGGGTGTGGGTGTGGGTGTGGGTGGGTGTGGGTGTGGGTGTG